GGAATGCACCCCTGAGCCAGGTGCAGGGGGGAGAAGGCTGCTGGAAGACATCTCCAGACTCAGGGAGATGGGTGCACCAACAAGGGCATGAGGTACCACATGAGGTCCTGCTGCCCCAGTACTCTAACTCCAGCAGCTTTCATGAGCACACCCGGCAAAAAGGGAGTCTAGCACAAACCTACATTGATACATCACGAAATTACTCCCCCAGAAATCTGCAGCCAGGAGCTTCCTACACCACAAGTGTTCTTTTCAGTCTGGCCTTTCAAGAACAGGCTTAATGCCACATTTTTCCTAGCAGTTTAAAAGCAAGTTTATTTCAGCACTAAGTTGTCAAGGGATTAAAAAAAAATAATAATTAATGCACATTAAAAGTTGTTGTGTAACTTGAGGTTATTTTGGCACCTCACTGCCCTGGTTGGGAGATCTATAGCAGACTCCTACAGCAATATCAGCCTTCTTGGCCTTGCCCCTAACCCTTATCCATATACACTCAACATTGTCATCATGTCAAACAGGTCTAGAAGACTTTTGCAGCTCTAAGTCAGAAAAGCAGCATCCTTAGGGATGCTGGCCTAAGAGCACAGCATACTACAAATGTATAGCAGATAGCCTGGCTTGTGCAAAAAGGATTGCTGAACCAAGATCTTTGTGGTTCACCATGAAAAAACAGCCCCCAGCCTTACACTGAGCCTAACTGTCTCAGATGTGCTTTACACCATGTAACACCTTGACTATTGCGATTACATATCCAGAAATGAAAACACACAGACATGCCAGGCAACTTGAACCTTCCCCTAGCTCTGGGTTATTTTGTTGTTCACACCTAGGCTTTGACTGCGGTTGTGAAATAGGTGGCCTGGCTTTTTGATGTGCCAGCAGATACGTATTCAGAGTGGTTGGGGTTCGAAGGGACCTCTGAAGATCATTTAGTCCAATTCCCCTGCTCGAGCAGGTACTCTTTTTTGCCCTGTTTTGTACCCTGTTTTGCCCTGGGAAGGACACGTGTTCGGATTTCAGCACTGCTAATCCTGCCCCGTTTTACAAAGACAGCTGGGGAGGAGGGGCCAGAAGTATCTCAAGGGAGACACCTGCAGACTGCAACCAGCTTGGAAAGAGAGACAGGGAGAAAGGCAGACTCTTAGGGGGCACACAGCTTTGTGACTCAATGAAATGGCCCCTCGACATCACTCCTATTTGCCACATGGGAAAACATCCTGTGGACTGCCCAAGGCAAGTCAGCACATAACAACTGCAGCATGGCCAGGCATAACCCCTCTGGCAAGTTACATACTTGGTCCCCAGGCCTGAGATTTTCCTAGCATGGAGGAAAAGGATTCCATGATAAGCAACTGCCCTGCAGTTTTTAAGGGTCCTTATCCTCACTGGTAATGTCATGGCCTTTTCCATCACTCCCTGCTCCCTGTGCACTAAGGTGGCAACATGAACCATACCTTCCAGGTAGATCCCAGGTTCATAGCCTATACTAGCCGTAGTCAACCTGCATGGTGTTTTCCTTCCCATCTCATTTTGCAGTGACATTTCCAATTAGAATCAATTTAAATCATCTATGACAGTAGTATCAAGTCTCTGCCTCTCTGTCCAGCTCACATAGGCTATCCTCATGTGTACAACTGAACACATTTCATTGATACAAGCCCCCCCAAGAATGAGATGAGTGATCCTAAGTCCACATGCTGCCTAGTTCTTGTCACCTAACTGTGGCCCAACCTTTCTTTTCTGTAAAAGAGTTAAAAATGCTTTGTTTCGGGACACAAAGGTTCCCTGCTACCTGAATGGTTTCATGCTCCTGCTCCAGGTCACTGTAGCGCAAGTCCCACCAGTACATATGTTCTAGCACAGAGTGGCTTGCTCTTGGCAAAACTCTCTGAATGAAGCACAGCACATGATTCACATCATATATGGATCAGTTAGGAACTCAGAAGTTCAGCTGGAAGAGGTCTGGGTGAAAACCTCAGCTGCTTGCAGAACCAGCTGCTTACCATTCACCCAAACAACTGCCCAAAGCCTGCCTCAGCACTGAGAGGCAGACACGCACGTTTGTCTTGTGAGGAAGTCTTTACTCTCATGGTGCAGAACATCTACTGACAGGCATACCATGTTTTAATGGCTGAAACATCAGAGCAGTGACTGGTCTCACAAAATGCTAAATACTTTGGTCTGATTTCTTCTTCCACAGGACACCCTCTCAGTAGCAGTACAACATGTGGCAGCTTGGCGCCCTTGTGTCTTCCCTCACTTTGTAGGTGGTGGCAAAGATCTAGCTGTGCTCCTGTCTGCTGCAATATGCCAGAGCCCACTGTGTTGTCTGCTGCAGGGATCAGACCCACCACGTGGTAAAAGCAAGGAGTAAGGAGCATATTCTTGCCTCCCACTATCTGAGTAGAGCACAGAAGACACTATGTGAAGAGACAAAATCACAAATATTTGCAAGCTGGTGAGTCACACATACATGTTAGCTGCTACTTTAAAAGAGTCTAGAACAAACAAAAAGAAAAAAATAAGTACATGAAAAAATAGATCTTTAGCCTGTGTTAGTCCACAACCTCCACCAAAGTTTCTGAGCCACTGATCTGCAGCAGCCAAAACTGACATGGTATGTTATGGGAACTTATTAAACCAAATAATCAATGCAGAGCTTAGCATTTTCAGTGAGGCTCCTCACCACCACTGCTGATGGGTAGAGTCAGGATCATACCCCTAGCAGGACTAGGGACAGTGCCCTTCACTGGTTGTGTCTGGAGAAAGGTCTCAGCCTGAAGGGAGACACAAGTGTTCTCCAAATTGCAAGGGAAATATCTTGATGAAAAGAACATTAAATATTCAGGGTCCAGCCCCTCCCAACTGTTCAGCTAGCATCTTTTACTTACATGTAATTCACATGAACCAATCCCCACTTGCAAGCTAAACAGATAATGATATTCCTTCAGCATTTATTTTTCAGGTCAGCTGCTGGGCAGTGCTGCAGGTACCCTTAGTCAATTCAGATTCACTACCTCTCTATGACTATTTTAAAGCTACAAAATGACAAGACAAATGCTCAGTATGTGGGCTACAGAACTTGTGTTGCCATCTATTCAAGCCAGAAGGAGCGTAACTTCATCCAATAGGATGCTGAGGACAAGGGTCCTCCCAGCAGCTGTTTGAGCAGTGATCAGTGCCACTGAGTTCTTCTCAAATATTTTGCCTACAAATTATGGATATGCTGACCTTGGCTTAGAGCTGACACTATTTTTAGAAGCTTGAATAAAGAGCAGTCATTCAGTGGAGTGCTTTTCACTTTCCATTTTAGACCCTACATCCTTAGCCTGAAAGTAATCACCAGACGAGCTGTTCAAGGTCAACTCGTATTTCAGTCAGCACATCACCCCATTTCACCTCTACCCTGACGTCTCACTAGACTTGTCCCAGGAGATGGTGCCCTTTAAGTTGAATCAAAAGGTCTGCACTCACTACTCACCCGTCTTTGGAGAGGTGATGCCGGAAGAAGTCATTGGCTGCCAGTTTGATAGCCTTTTCTGGTGTCACTAGAGTCAGGTTGACTGCAGCCCCTGGAAAAAGGAGAGAAAAAGTCTATTGGAGAGTAAGAATAAAGGAACCATTAACTGGATCTTTCAGGAATGTGTTGTAACTCCTGCTCAAAACCCGTTACTGATGAAGAAGAGCTCCCAATACACTAACAGGGTTTAGAAATACAAAACATGACTGGAAATCAGTAAGATTTCTGCCTCCCAACACCTTTAATTTTTGAAAACATGCCAACGTGTTTATACTCTATTTGCATTATGTTTTTTGTAATTTCTTTTGCTTCACTGCTACCTCCCACCATTAATACATGCATCCTCTTCTCTCATCCAAGGATGCATTCCTATGAATCCAGAAGGAGGCAGATCAGACTTTCAAGAAAGGAGTACAAGTTGAATTAATAATCAGACTCTGTTCCTTTGCAAATACTTTGTGATGCTGAGAAGCAAAAGCCACCCACCTCACCTTCTTGCTAATGTCTCTGCTCTACCACTACCAAAAGCAGAGCAGCTTGCTCACCAGGCAGCCCACAAATGGCAGAACTATTGAAAGACCTGGAGGCTGGCTGAACTCAACTGGCTCTTCTGCACAGAGGTCAGTCAGGCTCTAGACCAACCCTTGGGGTTAAGTGGCTTCCCCTGTATATCACCACTGGGTGTCACTCTCAGAACTGCCACCACTGAAGTGGCTTTTTGTCCACCACAAACTCCAACTTTCAGAAATTTCCCTCCGAGCACCAGGGCAAGGCTTGCTGGGGACCTGGGGTGTAAACAAGCCGCCACCACCCACTGGAGTGCCCTTTTGTCAGGAGCAATGAACAGCAAATCCCTGTATTGTGCCTGACACAATGGAAGTTCTGCATGGCCTAGCTGGCTGCTGTGGCCATAGACACCAGAATTACTGGAACACAGCATCAGGGAGGCAGCTTTCAATCTGCCCTGGTGGAAATGGAGTGGGGGAAGGGCAAGTCCCTTCTAAGCCTACTGTATTTTGCACAATTAGATTAAAGTCCTAGAATATTATCCTCCCTTTAAATCATATGCCTTAAAATGTCCTTTTGTGGATGACCACAAGCTCTTCCTGCCAGCACTGAAGCATACTGAGATCCAAGCCCTCCAGAGAAGTTTCCTTGAGATTTGCTAATGGCCTATTAATACCTTTGCAAGGACAAGCACATATACTAGGGAATAACTTTTGCATTTAAAGTTCCTGTAGAGACTTGAACAACTTGTCCCAAAGCTCCATTTTCCAAAGAGAAGCAGACAGAGAAGCCTACACTCCCATGAGGCTCCCAAGACCTGGCAGGAGGTTTGAACACAAGTTGACAGAAGCTATAAGGGCTCAACACACCTAAAGAAAGGGAACCCAGTCATCTGTTGCTCAAGATGGACTCTCCTCCCTCCAAAAATTATTAAAGAACTCCTAAATTAGACATGGAAAAGATACAGGTTTAAGGGGAGTTTCCTCAGATTAGGAAGCAAAGTCACAACTAGAACTTCTGGAACCAGTACAACCAGGACCAGGAGATGGGACTCCACATCTTTCACTCAGAGGACACATCTCCAGCATGCGGAAAACTGCAGCAAGAAAACAGACAGTCTTTGCTAGGCAGGGCTGGGCAGCCCAACATTTTTTCCCCCCTTCCAACTGCCATGTTCAGATTTTGCAAAAAAAAGAGTAATGCTGCCTCGTAGCAAGCTAAGCCAATGAATTCATTCCCCACTGGCCATGACATCCAACAAATGCCATCATCTTCTACAGGAACCAAATTAACCAGCCAGGGAGCAAGGCAGCCCTCTCACACTCCTGGCTGTTGTAAACTTTGAAGTGGACCAGTGATTGTGCTGCTACAGTTTGATGTGGTTCTTACAAATCATGTTCTGCTGCCATGGCTCTTGCATGTGATGAGAAGCCACACAAACATGACCCTCACATTCTACCCCTACATTTTAAAGTCCATCATATCAAGATCTACAAAGCAAATCCACAAAGCATTTCCTCAAATGAAGACAATTTCAACCCCACTAGAAATGGCTAGAAAGTAAAACACCTTTACATTACTGACATGCAGCATGAATAACTATTTCCTTGGAAAAAACAAGGAGAGAAAGAAAAAAGAATCAACCTGCTAATCTAACCCCAGTGCAAAGGGTTTACTGAAAGAAAGAAAACAAACTCCAAACCATCAAGCAAGAAAGGTAAGCAAGTAGGATGCTTCCATGTACTGACTACCTCCAGGAAGTGAGAGGCTTTCACAGCAATTTCTCTTTCAATTGCAAATAAAGTAGAGGGTAAAACACACACACACAATACACAGATAAAAATTAATGAACCTGTGGGTTTTCTCCTACATCTTTGGTATTTTCAGTAAAGCTGCTTAGCAGAGAGTGGATAATCCCTGTCCTCAACAATCCGTAAGAGCTTCAGCTCACTGGAGGAGGAGAAATTAGAGACTTCAGCAGCTTGTTGTATGCTTTCCACAGCGTTTTCCACCTTTTTACAAAGTCTCATAGATCTTCAATTCTAGTTATGCAAATTACTCTTT